AAAGCCGTCAAGACCTGGCTGTTTCGGCAGGCCTGGGGCTGTTGATTGATATCCAGCCCTGCTTAGATGAATGGATGATGTGGACTTTTAATTGTATTTTTTATTCTTAAATTTTAAATGTTTTTTTGTCCTGCTGTGAGCCGCCCAGAGTCCCAATGGGAGTGGGCGGCATACAAATTTTATTAAACTCGAAACTTGTTTTCCATTTGCTGCATCTCATCAGATAGTGCCAGCATTCCAATGTCTTTTTTCATGTGCTTTCCTTTTTTCCCATAGGGACATTCATTGTCTGGCATAACCCCTGTTCACTTGTCATATTCATTTATTTATTGGATTTTTATCCTACATTTCTTCATAAGTACCGTAACTGAATGCAGTGAACGTACCTAATGCTTCTCCTTCAGCTTATTATCTCCATAACAGGAACCCTGTTGGCCTGAGAGAGAGAGAGTGATTGGCCCAAAGTCACGCAGACGGCTTTCATGCCAAAGGAGAGACTAGAACTCATGGTCTCTTGATTTCTAGACCAGGGCCTTAACCACCACACCATTTATTTAGTATTTAGGTTCCTTTTATTTTATAGAAGAAACTAAGGAAAGGTTTTCCTTCTCCTCTTCCTGACAGCTGTGTTAAGAAAAAGGAACAGTTGTAACATACATAGTTTCTAAGTCATAGATAAGAAATCCTTTGGCTGATGTATTAGAAAGGAACTGTGTTAACTGGTACAAGCTCCTAGAAGTGTTGCTTTACAACATAAATGAACTTTCAATAGAGATACATTTCATCATGTGTCAATTAGAGACCAAGTCTAAGAAAATTAGCTTATAATATGCAATACACCTTATTTTTTATTACCAATTTTATCAGTAGTATAGTTATCTATGGAGCAAACAGTGTTTCATGTGCAGTGTGTATTCTTCTTGCTCCCCAAAATTATTTAAATGTATACGTGAGGTATTTTGTCCAGTCAGGTAATCTTCTTAAGCCCAAATTGCATAAAGGAATAAAACTTACATTCATATTACTTTACATCTTTTTGAATATACTAACTAATAATTTTTCAAGGTAAAAGCATATCTGATAAACTCTACCTGATTGATTGATTTCGAAATAGTGATCATTTTAGGTTCTTGTTGCATGAATAAAAATAAAATTTTTAGTACTAAGTACATTAATTATTCATCATGTACCTACTATTTATTTGAAACATTTTTAGGGGGTTGCCTTTAGGGGGGATGCCTTGAAAAGACTATGCCTCTTTGTTATAAACTGTTTAGGAGAACTTTATAAGTAGTTTGAATAAGTACATAAATGTACGGTGCTGTTTCTCTGCCCATTTTCAAAACCTGTACTCATAAAGTCTCGCGTTAACTCTCTCATGGAAAATATACCTTTCACTCACAATGTATTGAGTTAACTGTTAAAAGAAAGAAGTATAAATTTTGTGGAGGGGGAAAGACTTTAAGTGATGAAGCCATTTAGCTTTGAGCATTTTAACTGATGAAAATGCTCTGTGAAGGAAAAAGGAAGAAAATAAAGCATAACTAGCATAGTTTTGACTTTCACTTTTTTTTCTTTTTTTATGCTCTTTGTAGTTGTTTGAAATAACTGTGCCCCTGTCTCATGGTCCCAAACCTGTAACAATCAGTTTTGCCAATCATACTTCCTGCCGATGCATGTCCAAACTAGATGTCTACAGACAAGTTCATTCAATTATTCGACGTTCTTTGCCAGTGATACAAGCACAGTAAGAAATTGCATATTTCTTTCTATATTGTTAAAAAACTATTTTTAAATAAAATATTAATTTTACTATTGTGTTCTGAAGATCAAAACCAAGATGTATATGTTTATCCTTAAAATAAATTGGGGGTCATGATCTAGTACATTATTATTAAAGCTTTGTTCTAGCTTTGAAAATAGTTTCAACAGAATGTACTGTCAGGCACAAGGAACCAGGCCTGCATCATTAATTGATCAAAGTTACTTTATTGTTGCAATGCCTATTTACAAGGACCTTGCCAGACCAACTGTATTTTTAATTGTATTGTGTTGACTTA